TATTTTCAACTTTATGTAACATCCTGTACGAGAAGAAACTTGAAAATGATCGTATTAATAGATCGAAATATCGAGTAATGACTATTCAGTAAAATCTCATCTAATTGACTGATATCATCTTGGTTAATCTCATAACTATTGGCTACTAAAACTCTATCTGTCATATGATTAACGATATTATTTTTAATGGCATTAAATAATCAAACGCATACAAGTACAACAACATCAGCATAATGATACACAACCTTCAAGGCAACAACTTAAGACAACGTAAATCAGTAGATTATAGAATTTGACACGCCAAGGGTCATTTGTAATTTTAAGCTCTTTGCTTCAGATGTACTTCTTATTTTTTTTTTCATATTTCTGATAGATGTTTGTTAATTTGTATTGTTGTCAAGTACCTTTCTTATTATTCTGCCATAGAAAAAGGCTTTACCAAGCCGAAACATTTGGCTATTAATAAATATGCGGTTAATTAAAGCCATTTACCTTTAACTACTTAGATAGAAATAAAATATAAATCATAGGAGTTTTCAAGAATCTCATCAAGACCAAAGTATATTCAGGATTGACAAACTTATTGTTTGCCAACTGACTATGTTTTTTTTGGTGATCGGATGGTTGCATGAAGAATGATAGGAGATCGCATGCTTTTTGTCAATGAATGACGATGCTAGATTGAAATAACTCGTCAGAATAAACAGAAAATAAAGAGAAGCTCACTTGAATTTGAACTGATGAATGATGATGAACTGTACGAGGAACTTTGTGGATAGATGGTTCGCGTGATGAATGAAACATTGAGAGAAACATTGTGTATGTGTACAACTGGAGTTAACAATACTCGATGATGATCATTTCGTATTGTCTTGATGTCTATTGAAATGATCTTCATTGTACTGCCACAATTCAAAGGTTCGCTGTTGTGTTCGATAAGAAAATGAGTTTGCACTTTACTTCATTAGCACATTGCACTATGTATTGGCCACCGAAGGAACAGAATCAATAAATAATTATATACCTTAATAGTTTCTTGAGATTGAGAAAATGTACGCTATACAAGGCTTCTTGCTAATAGAAATGAGATGCTCAGGTTTCACTGATCCAATTTTCTAACGAAAAAATTGAATAAAAGGTAAGTGTTTTCATTGACATATAATAAGAAGTAATGAATTTTTCGTTAACAAACTAACTAGGGGCCCGAATGCGAATTGAAACTTTTTTTGCACTTACCTCTCTGAAATCTCACTGGCAAAAATCAAAATTTTTTACTTCTGTATGCAACACACAACGAAAAACTGAAAGCCGCTTATCACCTCAAATCACTGGCATTTTAATTCTGTGTGACTCGCTGTATTAGACAATTTAAATCATACCGCAGTATATTTGAATAGTGAGCAACTAAATCTATTATTCAATATTCTAATGACAATATGATGGCTATAAAATTTGGATAGTTGTAAAGGATGCTAACCCCAACATATTCACTAACAGTAAAGTGACTTTAGTCAAAAAAATTTAACTTGTCAAGCTGACTCCTCAGATACCCAGTTAAGTCGATTTTTCAACATAATTTGAGTGAGTGTAGACGCAGTATTTTTAAATGTGTTGTAACTCATCATCATTATTCAAAGTAGGCTCTTAGAAATAAGTTGATGACTTATGATGAGCATGCCCCTAGCGTTGTATCATCTTGATGTTCTGTCTAAAAGCCTTGATGATCCACAGCGCTTGAGTCATTTTGTAATGGGAATGTATTGATTCTTGAAATAAATTAGTGAGGGTTGTTCCTTCAAAACTGATTTCCTCAAGCATATTCCGATTGCTATACTAATATTGTAGCATGGTTTCAGCAAAAGGTCATGATTATCTCGGACTAGATCTTAAACATCCGTACGCGGTGATAAGTACCTCAGCTCCGTTAACAATTGTCATTCTGTATACATACGGCTTCACCTATTGAATCGAACTGAGAAATGTTTTTGTTATGGTAAAGTGGACCATTCTTTGCTACCTAAGAAAGTTTTTATTAATTCATTTTGTTAATGTCAACAAAAAACTCGAATTCATAAAATCCAAAATTTATGGACAAAAAAGTACAGATAAAGAAAAGATATGCACTTATAAGATAATATTCGATCTGTGAGAGGAGTTTTTACCTTTGATGAAACCGTCATATACTTCGATGAAAGTTTGATGTCATCGAATAAAACGTAGCATATGAAATGTTATTCATGAGATTTGCTGCTAATGATCTCGAGAAAGCTGAATGAAAATCCAAAACAAATTCAACAATGTTCATTATCATCCACAGAATCATCAAGGAAACATGCTAGTGAAAGATTTTCATTTTTAATTTCGTTAGTACTTAGGCCACGGTGCGAAGGAATTCGATCCTTTTATGAGTTTATTTGTAAATATATCGTCCTATAAGTGCTGTACAACGGGTATTTATAGTGCTAAAATATTTGACTCCATCACTTACGTAGAAAAACTAGATAGGTTTACAAAATCGACCTATACGTTGTGGATTCGATGTGATTCGAAGCGCCACCACGAATAGAGTTTTGGGTCCAGAGTCATTTTAGCAACGTCTCGATACTCAGTTTTTGATGTTGAATTTGAAAAAATTATTTTCAGAAGCTGGAAAAAGAGCGGAGTAGAAAATTTTGCATATTTCAAAAAAGATGTGTTTTTCTTGAAAAACGACACCTCTCGAGTATTTCGTATTTTTCGACCGGAAGGAAGCATTTACTATAGCTAAAAAGTAGTTTTTCGTGATCAGCAGCTCATGCTCCGTGGGAGTCCAGGAGTCCGCTATCGCCCTCTTGTGATGGACACAAAACTATACAATGACTCCTTCGTATTTGGTAAGACCTATGTTCTTGAACACTATAGAATTTCATAACTATGCTTCATTCACACATGTCCTTGACATGATATGCAATCTTCATTTTTTTCTGCATTTTTTTCTGTGAAGTACCCGTCGTACGCTGCAGTGTTACGACGTGAAAAGAAAAGAATATATTACGTTTTTTTCAGTTCCATTCTGTTTAAGAACTGAGTCATTCTATAAATACAAAAAACAAAGAAATTTGTTCGAAAGAACATTGCGCAATTTCTCTGCTACATGGTTAACACCAGACTATTCAAATTAACAAAAATTGGACTAGTAATACCAAAGTAACATGTGTGAAGCTGAACACTTCGATGTCATTATCCTCGGAGCTGGCGCTGCAGGAATTGCAACAGGAATTGATTTGTTGCAATCATCATCGTCGACACCCACATTTATCATTCTAGAATCGCGTGATCGGATTGGAGGTCGATGTTATACAGACCAGAAAACGCTGAATGTTCCCGTCGATCTTGGGGCGACTTGGATTCATCATTATTCCCCATCAAATCCATTGTACAAATACCATCATAAACTCCACACCGTACAGAAAAAAAGACAGGAAGTTAAGCCTCTTCGTCGTCACTCTGTCAGTTTAGCGTTTGATTATGACGGTAAACCTTTATCGGAGAGTGTTTACCGTCAAGCACATAGAATTGCTGGATCGTTGTTTGAAATATTGGACAAATACGCCTTAGAACAACGGCGAAAAGAAGTTCCCGAAGATAAATCGATCGAAGATGTCATACAAGAAGCGTATCAGTCATTTTCATTAGGTGGACAATTGAAACGTGCCGTCGACATTATCTTATCGGGTCTTGAACAGTATGAAGGATCGAATTTCTCCCGTTTGTCTGCAATCAATTATGATCTTGGCGATGGAATGGGAGTCGTCTGTGATATGGAATTGGAAAATGGTTTTGGAACATTTCTTACACAAATTGCTACTGTTTTACATCAATTACCAATACGATTGAATCAAACAGTTACTTGTATTGACACAACAGACTCACATAAAATTCAAATTCAAATATCGGAGGATAAAATTTACACCTGTAAATACGTTCTAGTAACAATACCGCTGGGCTGTCTGAAACGTCAAACAATCAAATTTGTACCAGAACTGCCCGAATGGAAAACATTGGCGATCAGTCAAATGGGGTTCGGTTTAATGAACAAAATTGTATTACAATTTCCGAAAAATTTTTGGGGAGAAAACGTTACAGTAATAAGCCATGCTAGCAATGTTCATCGAGGACAGTTTCGTTTTATTATAACTGAATCACAAGCAAATATTCTAATTATATTTGTTACCGGCGATTTTGCCTACAAAATGGAAACACTAACAGATGAAGAAACACTGATAACTGTTATGCAATTTATTCGAACAATATTTTCTGAACATCGACAACGAAAACATCTTGTTCCAGATCCAACGCATTATCTAATTTCACGATGGTGTAAAGATCCGTATGCTTATGGATCATATTCGAATTTTGCTGTTAATGCGAATGTAAAAACAGTTGAAGATTTGGCTAGAGAATGCTACTCAGATCGAGTCTACTGGGCAGGTGAACATACAAATTTCACTGGATCAATCGGATGTGTAGACAGTGCATTTGAAAGTGGACAACGAGAAGCGAGAAAATTAATTGAAAAACTACAATCATCATAATAAATAATTAAAAATATCTATATATTAAAATATATATATATTTTCTGTAGGTATTCTTAAGGTCCTTGTCCCTTACTTCCTTCAGGGTGCCGGAGTTAATGGCAATATTTCCGAAAGCCCTTTGCTCAAAAGCCTAGTTTTCAAGAAGTCCATTATGAAAGTAAAAACCAAAGCAGCATGCTATCGCCACTGGAATCACCATGTCTGAAAACCTCCAGGCTCTGAGATTCAGCCTGACATCTTCATTTCAGTAGATTGTATCCCAATTTTTCTTGTATTGGAAAGACGCTCATTGAAGCAGCTACTTTTGCACAGATAAATTATGTGCACAAACACATTGTTTCTCAAAATACACACTGGACAGTATATAAGTCTGTTAAAAATGAAGAATGGAAAAAATTGTCAAAAATGGTTTGGAATGGGATGGAATGGAACGGAATAGGCTGGAATGGGCCATTCCGCTTTTTCCCCCTTGGGTTTTTGACGTATAAAATAAATAACTTTCGATGAAAGCTATTTCCACCTCAATCGACGATTCGATCTATTTTAGAGCGGTTAGGCGGGTTATCGTCTAGGCCCACTTAACCAATCCACCAACTGGGTGGTTAACTGATCGGTGAAGCTGAATTTTTAGATTTTAAATATTTGTGAAATATCGCTGGTTGAACTGTATAGTTCTTTTGACTTAAAGACTAATTTAGTGAACTTCCGGATGTCTTAATCACAAAATTAGTGTCAGACATTCACTACCCTTACAGCTCAGGTTTAAGAACCTGAAGTTTTTTTCCGATTCTGGACATGAATTTTTTAGGAGCTGATTATGGAAATGGATTCGTGTTAAGTAGATCTGTTACAGTTATTACTCAATTCTATGGTTATGCAATTAACCAGTTTCCTCAATCATTTACATCTCTGTGTGATGATTTTTTCTGTATAGGTATTACGTCTAAGACTTTTCTATAAAGTTGTTTAGCGTTGCAAAAAAGCGTTCCTGTTTTCGATGAGACAATTTCGTTCAAAGTCATCTGCTGCTCCACTGTGCTCATAAAACACAGTAATATCGAAGGTATTACTTGTTGAAATGCCTCCACTGAATGAAGAGGCAATGCTTTGATAAACTTTGGCGAAAACAGTAAACCGAACAGTTGAAATGTTATTGCGTCAATAACGG